AAATAAATAATGATATATTTTTTAAGTAATCTCTACACCCAACGTGGGGCTCAAACTCACGACCCGAGATCAAGAGTCGCACTCTCCTCTGACTGAGCCAGCCAGGCGCCCCTGAGTCTTCCCTATCTTTACCAACCAATTTTGAAAAAATAAATTAATTTAATAAACAAATAAAAACCAATTTTGGGGCGATGTAGTTAAAGGTTTGTCAATTTTGTTGATTCTTTCAAAGAACCAACTTTTGGTCTCGTTCATTTTCTCTTCTCTATTTCATTCATTTCTGTCCTTTCTCATCCTCCTCCTGCTTTAGGATTGCTCCATTTTTCTTTTCCTAGGGTCCTGACATGGAAGTGTAAGTTGCTGATCTGAGATCTTTCTTTTTCCTTAATGTAAGTCTTTCCAGCTACAAGTTTCCCTTCAAGCACTGCTCTACCACCGCCCACGTGTCTTCGTGTGCTGTGTCTCCATTTCGCTCACTTCAGACCATTTTCCACTTGCCTCGGGATATCTTCAAGTCACTCGGGAGTGTGTTGACTGTCAGATACTTAAAAGTTCCCCAACTTTCTTTGTGTTGCTGCTTTCTGGCTTCATTCCGCCGTGAACAGATAACGTACTTTGTGTGATTTCAGTCCTTGTTTTGGACGAGTCTTGTCTCAGGGCCCACGTTCCGTCCAGCACCCCACATGCACTTGGAGAGAATACCAACTGATCTTGCTGGCGGCCTCCCCCTCGCTCTGCCCTCCCCCTCGGGCCCCTCGTCTGGGGGGGTGAGAGCTGTCATGTTGGAGGAGCGGCCCACACAGCGAGGAGCTGAGGCCTGCAGCCCACGCAGGCCTTCAGGTGACCGCAGCCCCGGCCCCCGTCCTTCCTCCAACCTCAGGAGAGACCCTGCGCCAGAACCAGCAGCCCAACCTCTCCCGACATCTTGCCCACAGACACGGTGACAGACAGTAAGTGTTTGCCGCCATAAGCCACTATGTGTTGGGCTGACGTGTGCGCGAGACAACTCACAATTACCCAGACATCTGCTGGCTTTCCGGAGAGCCAGGCTGGACGCACAGCTGCGCTTCTGGCGGAAGTTTCATCTTCTCTGAGGAAAGAAAATTGAAAACATGGATTAATGATTCTTTTCTTGTTTAAGATTCTCTTTTCTTTTCTTTTTTATTATTTTTTTTAAGTAGGCTCCACGGAGCCCAACACGGGGCCTGAACTCACAACCCTGAGATCAAGACCTGAGCCGAGATCAAGAGTCAGACACTTAACCAAGACTGAGCCACTCAGGTGCCCCCCTTTCCTTTTTTAAGTAATCTCTACACCCAACGTGGGGCTCGAACTCACAACCCCAAGATCAAGAGTCACACGCTCTACTGACTGAGCTGGAGCGGGTACCCCGTTAATTCTTGTTGAGACTGCTGGAGCTAAAGGTACACACTTTGTAACGATGACCTTAAGGCCTTGAGGATAAAGAAAACAGGGTAGAATGACTCTGATTTGGGCAGTCATTGGGAATTCTGGTTTTCGAACGCCCCCAACTACCTGTGCCTGGTGAAAGAAGCTATTTGGGACCCCAAGAGTCAGCGTTCAACCCGTCATTCAGCAGAGCAGGACTGAATGAGACATCAAACCCAGGTGCCCTTGACGGTGCCACAGGCCTCCCACAACTCCTATTGCTTTTTTTTTTTTTTTTAAGATTATTTACTGGGGCGCCTGGGTGGCTCAGTCAGTTAAGCAGCTGCCTTCAGCTCAAGTCATGATCCTGGAGTTGGGGGGATCAAGCCCCGTGTCAGGTTCCCTGCTCAGTGGGGGTCTGCTTCTCCCTCTGCCCACCCCCCACCCCTTCTCTCTCTCTCAAATAAATAAATCTTTTAAAGATATTAAAAAATCTTTTTTAAAAAAGATTATTTATTTGACAGAGAGAGAGAGCACGAGCCGGGGGAGCAGCAGAGGGAGAGGGAGAAGCAGGCTCCCCACTGAGCAGGGAGCCCGATGCGGGACTCGATCCCAGGACCCTGAGATCATGACCTGAGCTGAAGGCAGATGCTTCACCGACTGAGCCACCCAGGCGCCCCCCATGACTTCTATTTCTTATTGATGCCAAACAGTGGCTTTTTCCCAGAAACCTCCATTTTTTTTTAGCAGAAATCGTATTTCTTTCGGTTGTTTTACACAACTTGGATTCATTTGCATATTTTATAAGATATGGCCCTTATTATTCACATGAATTAATATGGAACACAAAAATGCTTCCTAACAACTGGTTTTCTATTCTGTTTATGTGAAGGGAATCCATTTTCAGTTCAATAAAATTAATTCTTGGCAAAATCTTAAGAGTGTAAGGTGATGTGCACGTGTGCATGTGTGTATGCATGTATGAGTGTGTGCATTGTGCACGCGTGTGCATGCTGGTGTGCACGCGCATGTAGGCATGAGCATGTGTGTGTGTGTGTGTGTGTGTACACACAAACATTAGCATGCTCTTCTGGAGCAGCCTGTTTTTTCATCTGATTTTCAAGAGACTGATCTGTAACCTGTTAAGCCCTCTTAGGATAAGAGAAAGAAGAGGAAATGAACTAGAAGGGGAGTCATTTTGAGAATGGGATGGACCTAGGGGTGTTTTCAGGTTCCGGAGAAGGTGCCAGTGGACTGGATAGGTAGAAGACTCTGGAAAGGCCAGGGCACAAAGCTCCTCAGATGGTGCCTTGACCCCTGAGGTGTCTGAAACTTAGGCTGGGAGAGTCGAGAGGCCCACAGCTCTTTTGTACTCCCACCTCTGACCCCATCCCCATCTGCACCTGGGTCCTCCTGCTGGGCCACGCTGGGGAGCCGCTCCCGCTGCCTCAGGGCCTCCAGGCCCGCCAGGTCGGGCAGGTGGCAGTGGCTACGCATCACCGTCACCAGCTGGCCCTGCGTGATGGCCCGGCTGCGGCAGCCCAGCCTGGCCTGGTCCCGGCACATCCAGTACACCTTCTCCCCGGCCGCCTTCTCCTTCCTGTAGAGGAAGGACTCGTACACCAGGAACCTGCCCCCGAGGGACGTCCTCAGGAACTCCAGCGGCCGGAGGGTTCCTGGAAGGAATGTGGCAGCGTGAATGGGGCAGCTCGGAAGCAGGGTGCAGAGCCTGGGCGCCAGGGACAGAGGCTGTTTCCTTTGTGCCACCAGCCTGCCCCAGGAAACCGCAATCCTCCCACGGAACCCACTCTGCTCTCTGTCTCCACGGCAGCCCGTGCTGTGGGGCCCTGAGGACTGCAGCTCGGACTGCCACCCAAGGCCCACGGCCCGGCACTCTCGAGGACAGACCGGCTGTCTCCTTCTCAGGGCTCTGGTGCTGCCCTGGAGGCTGGCCCTGCTTTCCTGCAGGCCTCCTCTGACCCGGCTTGGATTCCACACTTGCTGGCGAGCACCCCGGTGAAAGCCTGGGCTGGAACATTCAGCGGGGCCCACGGCTGGTTGGGGCCATGCACCAGGAGCCTCCTGGCTCGGTGTCCACCGTCCCCTCGGCCAGCTGACAACCAATCAACTCTCTCTTGAGGCTTTTAAGACCCTGAATTGAAAGGTCATGTAATGTTGGCGTTCGGGTGGCTAGAGAGAACTGGGAGGAGGAGGGAGGAAAACAAACACGAGGACCTAGAGAGGGCAGGCAGAGGGTCCCTGAGGTCCAGGCTCATTGCCCCGTCAACGGGTGCTGAGCACTTCCTGTAGCGGATCATGCCACCCCAGCCCCTTCCCTGCAGCTGTCTAAGTGGGTTTCTCTCTGCTGCCAGCCAATCCCAGACTAGCACTGGCCACAAGTGTGAAGCCCACATGCAGCCCTGCCTTTAGGGAGCTCACGCTGTGAGCACACAGCCTACCACACGTGGGTGGCTAGACCCCACCAGGCACAGGGCCTCGGACAGAAGGTCCCAGCAGGGAGACCAGGGCCAAGCACCTGCCCCGCTCCACACCCTCACCCGCACCTGAGCCTTCCCTCTGGGCCGGGCTGGGGAGCCGCTCCCGCTGCCTCAGGGCCTCCAGGCCCCCCAGGTCGGGCGGGTGGCAATGCCTACGCATCACCATCACCCGCTGGCCCTGCGTGATGGCCCGGCTGCGGCAGCCCATGCGGGCCTGGTCCCGGCACGTCCAGTACACCTTCTCCCCGGCCGCCTTCTCCCTCCTGTAGAGGAAGGACTCGTACACCAGGAAGCTGCCCCCCAGAGGGGTCCTCAAGAAATCAGGGCCTCCTGGGGAGAAAGGGAGAGGTGGGTTTGGGGAGGGAGAGCTGGGAGCCAGGTCCTGGGGTTCAGCAGTGAGGTGATGGGGGCCCCTGTCCTCAAAGCAAGAACAGCATAGCTCCTGGAGGGAGCAGGCCCAGGAGGAGCCCCCCCCACCCGAGAGAGTAGGACTGAGGTAAGGAGGGGAGGGGAGAGCAACAGGAGAGGGCTGTAACCCCTCACAGAGTGTTCCCCTAAGGCTGCGAGGACGCTTGCTAGGGGCACAGGAGGTCAGAGGGAAAGGCTGGTCGTCTGGGTCTCCTGCCCATCACCACGGCGCACTGGCCACAGTCTGTCCTACCTGGGCTCCCCCGCTGAGCCGCACCCGGGCGTTTCTCCCGCTGCCTCAGGGCCTCCAGGCCCCCCAGGTCGGGCGGGTGGCAGTGGCCACGCATCACGGTCACCCGCTGGCCCTGCGTGATGGCCCGGCTGCGGCAGCCCATGCGGGCCTGGTCCCGGCACGTCCAGTACACCTTCTCCCCGGCCGCCTTCTCCCTCCTGTAGAGGAAGGACTCGTACACCAGGAAGCTGCCCCCCAGAGGGGTCCTCAAGAAATCAGGGCCTCCTGGGGAGAAAGGGAGAGGTGGATGGGGGAGGGAATTGGGAATTCAGGGTCTTGGGGTCCCCTCCTACCTCCCTGGACCTGAGGAAGCAAGACTTGAGGGGGCCCAGCTCTGGGCCAGTGCTGTGAAGGACTCACCGGGGTCCTCGTCCTGGTCCTCAGTGCGGTATCCCTGCAGGGCCTGGGGCTGGGCCGGAAGGACTTTTGTGCGCTTCCTAGGCCGGGCTCTGGTGAGAGTCAGAGTCCCCGGCCCCCTGCGGTAGAGCAGGCCATCCACGCCTTGGAGCAGCTTGTCCACTTGGCCCCCAGGCCCACCAGGCCGGGCCTGCAGCGTTTCCATGGCTTTCTCTTGCTGCCGCCGGGCTTCCAGGCCCTCCACATCAGGCGGGTGGCAGTGGCCCCGCATCACGGTCACCCGCTGGCCCTGGGTGATGGCCCGGCTGCGGCAGCTGTGCAGTGCATGGTCCCGGCACGTCCAGTAGACCTTGTCCCCCACGGCCTTCTCCCGCTTGTAGAGGAAGGACTGGTGCACCAGGAAGCTGCCCCCATAGCACGTCCTCAGGAATTCCAGGGGCCGGGGTTCTCCTGGAGGAGGGACCCGGGGCAGTCATGGCAGGCTGAGGAGAGGAGGCTGGGGAGGCGTGGGGGGCCAAGGGCTTTTCCCCTTTATGTGGACACTGGCTGTGGCTTCCCCTGAGCTGGGCGTGTGTGGGCCCCACGTGCATTCCCACCGAGCCCCCACCCAGTGCACCAGGGAGAAGGTGCAGTTCCTCTCTTGGAGGTCAGTGGGGAGGCCACGGCTCACGGTGGTTATACGTCACATCCAAGGTCGCACACCCAGGAAGGACAGAGCTGGCTTTGACATCCTAGCCTATGTGTTCAGTCACTCCTGGCCATACTCTTTTTAGGGTTTGTTTGATACTTTTATTTAATTTTTGAATAGCACATGCACACGCCATAAAATTCAAATGGTGGCAAAAGATAGACAGTAAAAAACAAGTGTTCCCCCCCACACCTAGTACCCAGCACAGCAACTGCCCTAAATCCTTAAACCCTCGAATCTGGGTCAGAAGGGAGCCAACCCTTGGGACCAAGCCCACCTCCCACTTGCTGGTAATAAAAGCCACCAAGAAGACCCCAGCTACTGGGCACTCAGCGCCACCACACATGGGACTGGCCCTGGGTGCTTCCTGCACATTGAGCATCTAATCTCCCTGGCACCTGAGCGATCACCCATCCCCGACAAAGTTCCGAAAACCCCAGAGTTTCAGCATCTGTACTGAAACCAGGTGGGGCTGTGATTTGAACCTGGTCCAAAGCTCTCCCCTAGGCCAACTTCCCCTAACCTCATGGGCTACCAGGACCACCTGGCCCTGTTAAAACTCGGGTTTCTGGGTCTCACACCAGACCCTGCTGCATCAGAAAGTTCCAGAAGGACTTGAGCCCCCTGGTTCTAGAGCACTAGTTCTATCCCCCGGGCTTGATGATTTCTGGGACAGGTTTCTATCTTTCAGCCATGTTGACTTGGAGTGCATTACAAACCATATGAGACCCCATGTTTCCATCTGGGCACAGGTAAGGACCCATGGATTCCCACTTACCCCAGAGTGGAGCCCAGGTCCAGGGCACTCACCGATCCCCAGTGTCGGGCGTTTCTTGGGGGGCAAGCTCAGCAGTGACAGGGCTCGCAGCCCCTCATCCTCCTCTGCGGCCGGCTTGCTCAGCACCAACCTGGGGGTGGGCTCTGGCTCCTCAGGGCACAGCCATGGGCCCACCCCTTCCAGCGGCTCTTCCACTCGGCCCCGAGGGCCCTCCGGAACCCCGAAGCCTTCAGGCAGGGCTGGGCCGGGCAGCTTCTGTCTCCGGCGCCGCGCCTCCAGACCCTCCTCGTCGGGCGGGTGGCAGTGGCCCCGCATCACTGTGGCCCGTGGGCCTCGGGTGATAGCCCGGCCCCGGCAGCCCAGCTCACAGTGTTCACGGCACTTCCAGTAGACCTTGTCCCCCACTGCCTTCTCCTGCTTGTACAGGAAGCACTCGAGCACCAGGAGGCGGCCCCCGAATGGGGTCCTCAGGAACTCCAGGGGCTTGGGGGCTGCTGAGGACAAGAGAGGGCTGGGTCAGCTGGAACAAAGCAAGGCTGGAGGCCAAGGGCGTGGATGAGAGCAATGGGGGACACACAGGGATGACATCCTGAGATCATCACACCAGCCTGAGACAGAGTCCTGATTAGAGACAAGGATACTTAGCTCCGAGCAGAGATGGGACCCCAAGGCCACCCCCTAGAAAGGGGGTGCACAGGGCCTATGTCTGAGCATGCAGGGCCACAAAGGGGGCTGGGCCAGGAGCAGTAGGCCTGGAACTCACCTGTATCTGGCTTGCTGCATGTCTGCTCAGGGGCCTGGGGGGTTGGCTGGACTGCCCCCACTTGCTCCTCCACTGGAAGGATCTGGGGGGTCCTGGCCAGTGCGTCAGGACCAGACATCTCCAGGGACATGCCACAGTGCCCTCCTTTGGGCTGGGAGTCCACCCCATCCACGTTCTCCGTGGAGGCCGTCAGCAGGACCAGTTTGGAGAACTCTTTGGGCTTTGTGGGGACTGCAAGAATGACATCTGTGCCTGGCTCAGGGGACTCCGGGGATGGCTCCTGGCCAGCCTTCACACTCTCGCCCTCTTGCTCGCTGGGCTCCGGCAGGGGCATTCTGGGACGATGGCCTGTCCCCCAGGCCACACTCAGGCCCCAGCAGATGGAGTTCTCTTCCTCCTCCTCCTCCCTGGTCGGGAACCTGGCAGTCCAGGGGCTCTGTCCTAAGGAAGGAGGCAAAACCCATCAGTGGAGGCCCCCTTGGGCCTGGGGCTCAGAAAATGGA